TTGAAGAAGCGCAAATATGTCTTGCTATGTAATGATTGATTTAGTTGATAGAATACTTTGTGGATGTGCATAAGTTGGTTGATAATTGATATGTTATGTATGTTATGACCGATTTAACAAAAAGTGACAATGTTAATAGTGGCAGCACAGTTTCAATTTTAAATTTTTGAAGCTTCGGACATGTTTTCTTTACAATATAAATGAAGTAGGGATATTGATGATGTACCTGATCAATATTAGTGCTAGTGTTCAAGAATTACATGTTACCTAACTATAACATATTTGTAGCTTTTAACATTACTAGCAGCTTCGTGTCAAAAAAGTAATATAATGTCACATTTTAAACAAAAAAAGTGACATTAATATCACTTTCTTTTAACATGCTAGCAACTTGTATGTCACTTTTTTTAACATGCTAGTAGTTTGTATGTCAAGTGACATATAGTAATCAAGGTCAAACATATCCTACTACTCCAAGGTCAAAGTACACTATATCATATCTAGGTTTCTCATTAATCTGTTCGATATTGCAATGCATATATTGTTCTAGCAAGGTTTAGAAGGAAGAAGTATCTACTAACCATCCGGTTTCACAAGGCACGGCATAACCAATTAACAAAAAGTGACATTAAGTATTTTTTCCAAACATGTGTTTTTGTGAAGTTTTGAACATGTTTTATTCACAATGTTAATAGATCAGCGAACTTTTTAATGTAGCTAATCAATATTAGTACTAGTGTTCAAGAATTGAAATATGTTTCCTAACTATAACATATTTGTAGCTTCTAACATACTAGCAGAGTGACACTATGTGACATTATGTCACTGATTTTAGTAGTTCGATATTCTGTATTCATGCTGAAAGGCTAAGCAGATGATGCTAGAACTTGGTCAATTTATTAAGTAACAATGCTTCTAATTGTGGATCTAATATCAATGGAGCATGATATCCAATGTCCGTACACATACACATAACAAAGTATTTTTAAACAAAGTCATATCCATCAAATTTCATCATCACTACTTTTAACAAAGTCACATTCACAATAAACTTTAGAATTGACATGCAACCTAAAGTAATTTAGAAGTTCTTAGGATATTGAATTGAAAAACATTCTAAAACAAAAAATATCAAAAAATCTAGTTTCATATGTCTTCCAACTTCCTTTTCTTTTATAATTTTTATTTCACATTTGTTGAATTTGACATAATCTATGATTGTGACCATTATTCTCATATCTTTTACATTTTGTACTTTGAATTTTCTCTCATTCTGATGGTATTCCTTTTTCTTTAGGTCGTTCAGATTTTCTTTTAGAATTGGAAGCTAAGACTTTCTTGCTTTTAGTTTATTCGGTACATTTCAGTAATTGTAATCTCCAAGTGGGAAAATTGTTCCACTATATGTTTGAAAGTACACATCTGTTGTATAATATACTGAGCAATATGAATATGAATCTCACTTTATCTTTGAAATAACGGCAAGTGCATTGCTCATAGAATCTCATCTACTTAAGAATTGGTTGCATGTACATGTCTTTTCTTCCATATTCAACAAATATGAAGGACAACCATTATTAACTTGGTACAATATCGAACTTGAAATTGATACTTGTGTGTGTAATACAACAAAATACTCTATCAATACCTATTTTATATTAAAAGAAGATTTAAAGTGAAAATTCAATATGAATATAGGCTGCAAATCATGTTATAACAAAAATCCTGACATACATTGACAACAAATTAACAACTAATTTATAGATTTTTTATCTTCATTTTCTTTAATTCCAAGGAATTTTCTCTAAATTTTTTCTCTTGTTTGGTGGCAAGTGTTGTAAAGGTTACCCGTGTATCATTTATATGCTTCACAAACTATTCTTGTGATAAGTATCTTAACAATTCCAATAAAGGCTCTATTGGACAACAAAGTTGTTTTTGTTACCAAATTTACTGATCCAACTATATTTGAAGTCATTATTTTTAGAAAATCTATTGTTTTTCATGTAAGTCCTTGACCATTTTCATAACAATACCTTTTTGTACAAAGAAGATTCAAACTATTAATATTTATTTAACCAAAAACAGAAACTTTATCATTTTAAACACTTACATAACTTATCAAACAAAAAGTGACATTCTGTTTCTTTTTGTTAAAAAATGAATGTCACTTTTTTTGTTAAAAAAGGACAAAGTGATGTCGATTATTATAGAAGTTAACAATGACAACATACCACATGTGATCGAATCCATTTATTGACATTATCAAGTTATTTCATATGAATCTCAAAATCATTCTTAGAATATGCCCTTACAGACCTGTTGAAATGTTTTGCAATATTCTTTTCCTTTTTCTTCCCACCAAAATCTGATTTTATGTTCTTTAAAAAGTGATAGGAATATAGTTCATGCATCGCATTCTCATATACTTTGTGAATTGCAATTTTTATGCCTAAATGTCCATTTGAGATTGTACATGATCATTCTCTCTCTCCATAAACTTCTTTTAACATAATTAATAACCATTCACACAAATCATTATTTTCTAAATCACCTACTCCAAATGTTAATATGAAGGTATTGTTGTTTGCATCTTAATTATATGCAGTGAAAAGTGTTCCCCCATAGTTGCCTTTTAAGAATATAGCATCTATTACTATGACCGGTCTGCAATACTTCCACCCTTGAATAGATGCTCTTAATGCGATGAAGATATACTTGAATTTGTTGCCCTGATATGTTTCAATTTTTGTAATTAATTCGGGATTTTTTTTTTTTATCATATTCAAGAATTCTGGAAGTCTTTTAAATGACTCTTTGGGATCTCATCTCCCCAATTCTAATGTTTTTTCTCCCTTGATTTCTAAGCTCTCATAGCTCATCAACACTTCATATGTATTTATCATGTCATTTATAATTTCTGTAGGAGTGTATGTTGCTTTTGTTGACATATACTTATACATGATAAATTCTCCTACTATTAAGTTTGTTGCTTGACCATGATCTCTAAAAATGATGTTATTTGAGCATGTATGATCATTTTCAATATACCTTACGTTGAACATATTTGTACCTCCAAGTTTTGAAGCCCTAAGAGTCCATTTTGCACTTATCATTTATACACTTTTACACATATTTTTTCTTGTACAACTTACTTTCCTTAAATTGAAAGTTATCGTGTATCACATATACCGAAATACGTCTCTTATTCAATGTTTTGTTCCTAAACATTTTGTTGTTTGCAGTTCCATCCACAATGACTATTGAAATGATATTACTTCCTCTTTCATTTGTCGTTTCTTCAACTTCTGATATTCAATTGTATACATCAACAACAATTTCTTTGATATTAGATAATTTCTAAATTGATGTCATAGAATTATCAGTTACCTCTTCACAAACTATAGTTGTGTCATATCGTTTTCTTCGAAATTGGTAGCTTCCAAACATTGTACGTTATCAACATATTCGATTTTGTGACTTTTTGATACTGTTGTTATATCCATGCACAATGAAAAGTTTACAAAATATTTATCCTCTCTTTTGGGCTCCAAATAAAATGATAGAGAAATATTATGTAAAATCTCCATCAAAGATATGTTGTTCTTCACTCTATATTGTATTTTTATTCCTTGTGTTGATACACTTAATTTCATTATAGAAAATATCATGCATTCAAGGTTATTATATGTAAAACTATCGAGGACAACAATTATGGTCATTTTCTCACTTATATATTCATCATCTTATATCCTTTTACCTCTATAACAAATGAAAACATTAATTTTATACTTATATACAAAAAGATTATAAAGAAATTGTGTGAGATTTTTTTTTTTTTTAAGCAATAGAATGTCACTTTTTCACATTATCACTTTCTTAAAAGCCTTGCACATTCCACTTTTAAGTAAACACCTTGTATACATCAATTTAATTTATGCAAAGCTAAATTTTTATACGTATTAACACAAAACAAGGTTTGAATTCGAATGTTCAAACTTTCAAAAACACGAGCGTATATATCTAGACAGAATGTCACATTTTCACATTCTCATTTTGTTAAACACTTTGCATGCATCATTTTAATTGATTCAAAAGATACTTTTCATATGTATTAACACAATCCAATTCATCTCAAGTTCAACAATTTTATTTTCAAACATTCTTTCCATCACACTGAAATAATTGTTATTTTCAAATGCCTTTGATTTTTTGAGAAGGGAGATTGATTTTTGACAAATAGTGTACCTAAGGATTGAACATATTGAATCAAAAATCAAACAAACTGTAAACCTCGACATATTGAACATAAAAATCTAAATAAAATACGTCAAAATCAACTAAAATATGAACATATTGAATAAAAAATTAGAAATAATATAACCGTGGAGATCTGGATTGATTATTTATAAAATTGATGAATAAAATTTTAAAGATATAGTTGAAACAACTCTTAATCTTGTATGGTCTTAGATTTTGCTTGATTTGGAGCATGGAGTTGGAATTTTGGAGCTACTGGATTGTATTTTCTTCGTTTTGAAATTGCCTTAATCTTTACAGTTTATTGGTGGAAATTTACAGTATTTGGTTTTTAATACATGTTTATCATGATTTTTCAAAATGACTCTAAAAATAAGGGTAATTGTTTAAGCTCCCAATTTTTTAATGCTCTAGGGCACAAGAGATCTAAGGTCCAGAAATAAATAAGATAGAATGGCAAACTCGTTCTTTAAAAATGGCTAAAGGTAATTTAATTTTAATCGTAGTTAAAAATATAAAATCCAGTCGTGTGATTTGCTTCCACATTCACCCTTGTTTGAGCTCCATTAAAATTAAATTTTGGGAAAAAAATATGTTTTGAAGTAGTGTTTGTATGTGATTAAAAAGAATAAAAAATTTAGAATTTATGTGTAATATCATTTTACCGAATAATGCTTGACTAAGAAGAAGAAATAGAAAAATACATTTTTATTTGAATGGAACCCAAACGTAATTGCTCACCAAAAATTTTCACGACAGGTATGGGCGACCCCTCTTTCATTCGTCTCCCATTCCAGTTAAAAGCGCGAACGCAGTCAATTCAGACGGCAAATTCTTGAAATCCTCGAACAATTCTAATCTAAATAATCAAGAATTTCGTATTCTTCGTAGTGCCGAACCCATTTTGGAAATCGATATAAGAATCTTAAGTAAAGGTTTTTCTTTTCTTGTGTGTACTGTTTAAGAAGACAACTCGGATCAAGAATCTCAAACCCTGTTATGGATTCAGATTCAATATCTATTTTAACCTCAAAGGCTCCAACAGAAAGGGAAGAAGAATTACCTGATTCAACCGATGCCCTTCTATCTTCCTCAGATGCACCACAGAAATCTTCCACCAAATCCGTTTTATTCATTTCTCTTGTTCTATCCACGTGCGTTGCTCTGTCTGCTGCCATTGCCTTTGCCTTTTTATTCTTCTCCTCTTCATCATCTAGCAATTCCGAATCCATTAATGAAGTCGCAAGGCCACTCACAAAGCTCAAACACCCAGTTGTTTTACTGATTTCCTCAGATGGTTTTCGATTTGGATACCAATTCAAGACCTACACTCCTAACATCAATAGACTGATTAAGAATGGAACTGAAGCAGAGTCAGGTTTGATTCCTGTGTTTCCAACGCTTACTTTCCCAAATCATTACTCAATTGTCACTGGATTGTATCCTGCTTATCATGGAATAATTAATAATTATTTTACTGATCCCGAAACCAACGAGGTCTTCACTATGGCCAGTCACGAGCCCAAATGGTGGCTGGGGGAGCCATTGTGGGAGACTGTGGTGAATCATGGCTTGAAGGCGTCTACTTACTTCTGGCCTGGTTCTGAGGTACATAAAGGTTCTTGGAATTGTCCAAAGGATTATTGTATGTTTTATAACAGTTCTGTGCCATTTGAGGAGAGAGTTGATACTGTTTTGAAGTACTTTGATTTGTCTAGTAGTGATATTCCTTCGTTTATGACTCTGTACTTTGAGGACCCTGACCATCAGGGTCACCAGGTTGGGCCTGATGATCCATTAATTACTGAAGCGGTTGCTAATATAGATGAAATGATTGGGAAGTTGATTCGGGGTTTGGAAGAAAGAGGGGTATTTGAGGATGTGACTGTCATTATGGTGGGTGATCATGGGATGGTTGGTACATGCGATAAGAAGTTGATTTTTCTGGATGATTTGACCTCATGGATTGAAATTCCAACAGAATGGGTACAATATTACACTCCATTGCTTGCAATTCGTCCACCATCTGGTTATTCGCCGAAGGATGTTGTGGCTAAGATGAATCAAGGTTTAAAGTCAGGTAAAGTAGACAATGGTCAATATTTGAGTGTTTATCTCAAGGAGGAGCTGCCTAGTAGGCTGCATTATGCAGCCAGTGATAGAATCCCACCAATTATAGGTTTAGTCCAGGAAGGATATAAAGTGGAACAGAAGAGATCAACAAGACAAGAATGTGGAGGAGCACATGGATATGACAATGCGTTTTTCTCAATGAGGACCATATTTATTGCTCATGGACCTCAGTTTGCTCGGGGAAGGAAAGTCCCGTCATTCGAAAATGTTCAGATATACAACCTGGTTACAACAATACTGAACATTCAAGGAGCTGCTAATAATGGGACGGCATCATTTCCTCAGAGTATTCTTTTGCCTAGTCATTAATCTCGTTTAGCTAGTCAAATGCAGTGATACTACAAAAAGATACCGGACTGAATTGGATATCTTGCGAAACTGCAGTCGGTGCATTTTCTTGATGAGGTAACTGCTTATGCATCCAGACGATATTGGCTGGATTGTGTTATTACTCTATAGTTTCTTGAGTTCAACGTTCTTCATGTGTAAGAATGATAATTACATATGTTGTGAACTTGATAACCTTGCTTCATTTGTCAGATTGAACAGCTTTCTGCACAATGGTCTCTAGCAAAACCATGAATTCCTTAAATGTAATATTATTCAAGTATATGAACCAAACTTTTACGGGCTTTTTTTCTTATATCAGAGTGTACTACACACTTTCACGATGATGCTAGGTACATTCACTTGTATGTCTTGGTGTTTTCTACCTGAATCTGGTGAATAGAAATTCATTTAGCTTTATAATAACATGTGATATTTAACTGTAAGTGGTTGTCCGAGCTGCAGTTTCTAATGGGATCAACTGTCTTTTGTTTATGAGGAAATTTCCTAGGGTAACCATGTTAGAATAAAGAGAATGAAAAAATGGTCTTATGTAACATTATGTTAAGTGGTCTACAGAATCGGGTTATTCTCACTTCTCGTTAAAGCCTTATATGTATTCATAAACTGTTCATCTTCTTCAATTTGGGGCTTGAATCGACTTGTTAAGGATAGTGTCAATTCTACCCAAATTTGGGTCCGTTTGACCCAGAAAGGGATTGATTTTAATTCGATCAGCTTGATCAACTGGAGACAAAAAAGAGGAAGACTGTTTACAAGGTTATTGAAGACATCATACATTACTAAGGTCTTTTAAACTAACAAGGAGAAGTTAAGCTATTTTTCGCTACCAACAACGCAAGAAACCTTTAAAATTTCACTTTTTTTAATACCATAAAAGTACTTGTTATGGATTCACAGTCCATTTTGTGAAATCTTTTATGATAAAGGAAAAGTATCCATGATTCTGATAAATTCTTTAATGATTGATAGAGCTAGTTAAACTACATTTCCTGTAGCTGTGTCAACACATTATTTAGTTAGTGATGATATCGTAAAAGGCCCAAAATATGCTCATTTCTTACCATTTTTCTTTCTAAAGTTGTTAACTCTCTAAGTAAATGTTTTGCATGTTACAAGCACCGCAAATGCTCAGAAATTATGCGAATTTGATAGTTTCATGTTCCTATGTGTTTGTATTTCAATGCAACTGGTAATGTTTGGCAGTATGTCCACCATAAGTTTTTCCTGTCAAATTCCGTGAGATAAATCTTGATTTTCAATGTTGCCCTATGTTCTCCATTTTCAATTTCGGATCAACTTGCCCTATGTTTGTGGTCACTTGTTATATGTCTTGTTGCTTCTACCTTAATCCGGTGAATAGAAATATCTTTATCTTTATTAAAACATGTGCCATTTGTACATTGTAAATGGTTATTCAAGTTGCGATTTTGAAGATGAATCAACCTGTCATTTGTTTATTAGGAATTTTCTGAGCTACCCATGTTAGGAGAAAGAAAATGAAAAATGAAAATTATAGTCTAATTTGTAAAATCATATATGTTATCAAGGAAAATTGCCCATGATTTTGATCCTTTCATCTTTTGTGTTATGATTGCTTTAGTTTAGTGCTTCTTCATTAAATTCCTCCCCGCGCTATACTTGTTTTGTAGTTGGTGCTATTCTTGTCCAAGCTCCGAAAATATGCTCATCTCATATCATTTTTATGTCCATTATTATTTTTGTAAATAAATGGTTTGCGTGTCATGGGCACTGCAAATGGCTAGGAAATAATGCGAGTTTGAGAATTTCATCTTTCTGCTGTTCAGTTTAATGCATGGCTGGTGCTTATGTAAGATTGAATGCACTTGGCCAGATGGTCTCGAGCAAAGGTGTCATTTCTTTGAATATAATATTGTGATTTGCTGTTTCAGTTATATCGAGCTAGTATAAAATTCAAAACGATGCAAGGAATGGTCATCTGTTATATGTTTCGCTTCTTCTGCCTTAATCTGGTGCTTAGATATTGCATTGGTTTTACTGTAACACAAGTCATCGAACATTGTTAATGGTTTTGAAGCTGCATTTTTGCATATGAATCAACTAGTCATTTGTTTATCAGGAAGGCCATGTAAGTAGAGAGATACCGAAAAATTGCATAACTTAACTTCATGTTGGGTGGCCTGCAGAATTGTTTTATACTCTTATATGTACTTGTAAAGTAACTTGTTCATCTTCTTTAACTGAGTGATCAATTAGGCTTGACCCAGATGGTTTACAGAAGGTTATTGAAGACATTTTATACAGTACTAAGGTCTTTTAAACTAACAATTTGAAGCTAAGTTATTTTTAGAATTTCCCACTGTTTATGTCAAAATGTACTCGTTCATTGGAAGTCTAAATTTTATGGGATCAAGGAAGCCTGGTCATGATTTTGATCGGTTCGTCTTGCAAGTCGTTATACTTCTTTTACAGTTGGTGTTACTCGCGTTTCCTTTCTATACTTATCAGCTCTCTTAGTAAATAGCTAGCAAATTTCTATGAGGTGTATTTATATTGCCCATGTCGCCCTATGTATGTTCATTTGCAAATTCGTATCGAACTCTGGAAGATTTTCGATAACCCTCTGATACTTATAGAACCCAATCTGATCATAGCATGTGCAGAAGGATAATAACTAATGGCAGCTAAAGCAAACTAAGAAATCCAAGTTAAAGAAGGTATTGATCTCTTGATGTCAATTTAAGAGTTAATTTGTCCTGATTTGGTAGTCATTCTCATATATTTCTTACAATTTCTTTATGAGTGAAATTCATAAACAGAAGAACAAAGATTCTGTTAATTTGTGCTTTTACTATGCAATGAAGTGAAAGAACACAGAGACTTACAAGGAGTGGTTGATACTAGAGAGAGCATCTTTATATTTTAAAAAAGAAAAAAAAAATTACACTTCAACAAACACTTTATTTTATTTTTTCAATAATTATTTTTTTATATATTGTTGACAATAAAAATCAGATCAACAAATTATCCACTTAGCCAAGATTTTCACCTTCAAGTCTCGCTAGTTTTATGCTGACCTATGATTGATTATAACTTTAAAATTTTGATTATAACAAATAAGTTAATTTTGATTACTAACAAACTGAATTCAAATGATTATAATTTTCCAAAGCGTATGATGAAATATTAATAGAAGATCGTCAAAAGATCAAAAGCTATTATCATTACTGGACTCGTGAGGGCCAAGACCCGAATTACACGTTCAAGAGTTAAAGAGTCAAATTTTAAATTAAGGTAGAAGACTAGATTTCTTAGATGAAGTGTAAAGGTACAAATATTTTAATATTTAGCTATGAATGTTTAAGCTCAAAATCTTTCTATACATTAAAAAAATAATAATAAAAAAATAAAAATAAAAAAATAAAAAATAATATATATATATATATATATTATTGAAGTTTAGAAGAAGAAAGAAGTAGTTATATATTTTTAAAACATATTCATAATAAATTAAAAATAATGATACTAACAATAATTAAAGAACTGTCTAAAGAAATAAAGGAACAAATATTAGAAAAATTAATAATATAAAATATATATATATATATATATATATATATATATATATTTAGCATTATCTGGTACAATATTTTGATCAAATATAAAGTGACTTTTAAAATGATATTTGAACTTGAAAACTATCTTTTATCTTGAAAAGTTAGTTAATGATATTCCAAAAGTCTATGCTTTTTAAAACATTCGAATCAGATCAAAAGAGGTCAAAACGTAAAAATATCAGAACTGTCGGGTGGTTGACCAACCAGAAGAGGTGTTGATCGGAATTTTCAACAATCCAAAATTCGACTGTTCTGACATCTAATTTTTACTCTACAAAAAAATATATTGGTCATCCGGTCAAGAGGTTCGACAAAACGAGCCATTCGAATTTACAGATTATTTGGGATTTTGAACTCTATAAATATCCAAATTTCTTCCATTCATTATAACATTCTTGGAGAGCATTAAAGTGAAAAAAAAATATAATATATATATATATACACACACACACATCTTATTTATTCTATTAAACAATTACTTTAAGAATCTCTGATTGATTCAAATTTTGAAAATCATATTTTCATCAAAGTTTTATCATTTAACACTTGAGTTTTATTTATTGCTATTCAATTGAAGTGTTAGTATATTTCTCTCTTATTACTTTATTTGTTTATATCATTTATTAAGAGATAAGTTTCCAAATTGTAAAATCATTTATTATAAAATTTGTGGATCATATTGAGGTCCCGAAAAGATCAATATTGTATGAGGATCGATGTTCTTTAAGTCACCAAAAACGTTGTAAATGGTTGGATTGTGAAAGTCCAAAAATGACTAACCAAGAGGGGGTGAATTGGTTTTTAAAACTTTTTTAGAAAATTAATTCCATATATAAACCAATATGAAAGCAAATATATCAATTAAAAAAATTGGCACAAATAAGAAAGTAAGTAAAGACTAAATTGAAAAATTCAAATATTAAGTGCAAATATAAAAGCGATAAGTAAAAGGGAAGAGAATGCAAATGATATAATTGTGGAGGTTCGATCTAAAGCAATAATCTACGTCTTCTGTTACCAAGCTCTTCGGCATGAACAATGTCTTTTCACTATGTTGATTGATTTATGATGCAATCCAACCCTTTACAACACTTCCAATGACTTACAAATAAGGAGTACTGGTCCTTTACAATGTTGGGCTTTATGGGACCTCAACACAACCCATACTATTAAACTTTACTGGACCTTAATATGACCTATACGGTGATTTACAACAAGGAGCACTTATCCTAACACAATGTTGAGCTTTCTGGGACCTCGGCACAACCCACACTTTATCAAAATGATTTTACAATCAAATCATCTCTTGATAAATAATATAAAACAAATTAAGTACAAAGAGAGGCTAACACTTCAATAAATAGTAACAAATAATAGCTCAAGTGTTAGATGAAAAATTTTGATGAAAATGACAGATAAAAATTAGATTCAACCAAGCCAAGTGTTTCAGTGAGAAGATGAAAAAGAATTAAATGCAATATAAATTCAAATAATCTTTTCAAAAAATATCTCTCTTTAATGAATGAGTGTAATAAATTAAGCACTAAGAGAGATAGGAAACTTTTATGAATATGATAATTTTACAAATTTGATTCAATCAATCAAAATTTTCAATATGAAGAAGTTGAAAAGTTTATGCATATAAGTGCAAAGATCTTCTTCAAAAATATATCTCTCTTTCAAAATTGATATAAATAAGTTAAGAACAAAGAGATGAAAAACTTTGATGAGAGAAATTGATTCAAGAAATTTAATTTAACAATCAGAATTTTTAATATGAAGAAGTAAAAAGATTTATGCAATGTAAGTGCAAATACCTTCTTCAA